TCATGGTGTACGCGATATGTAAAGTTGTACAAGTCATGGTGTACGCGATATGTAAAGTTGTACAAGTCATGGTGTATGCGATATGTAAAGGTGTACAAGTCATGGTGTACATATTTAAAGGTGTACAAGTCATGGTGTACATATGTAAAGGTGTACAAGTCATGGTGTACATATGCAAAGGTGTACAAGTCATGGTGTACATATGTAAAGGTGTACACGTCGTGGTTTACGTATGTAAAGGTGTACAAGTCATGGTGTACACGATATGTAAAGGTGTACAAGTCATGGTGTACACGATATGTAAAGGTGTACAAGTCATGGTGTACACGATATGTAAAGGTGTACAAGTCATGGTGTACGCGATATGTAAAGGTGTACAAGCCATGGTGTACATATGTAAGGATGTACAAGTCATGGTGTACGCGATATGTAAAGGTGTACAGGATATGTAAAGGTGTACAAGTCATGGTGTACGCGATATGTAAAGGTGTACAAGTCATGGTGTACGCGATATGTAAAGGTGTACAAGTCATGGTGTACACGATATGCAAAGTTGTACAAGTCATGGTGTACGCGATATGTAAAGGTGTACAAGATATGTAAAAGTGTACAAGTCATGGTGTACAAGATATGTAAAGGTGTACAAGTCATGGTGTACACGATATGTAAAGGTGTACAAGTCATGGTGTACACGATATGTGAAGCTGTACAAGTCATGGTGTACACGATATGTAAAGGTGTACAAGATATGTAAAGGTGTACAAGTCATGGTGTACACGATATGTAAAGTTGTACAAGTCATGGTGTACACGATATGTAAAGTTGTACAAGTCATGGTGTACACGATATGCAAAGTTGTACAAGTCATGGTGTACGCGATATGTAAAGGTGTACAAGTCATGGTGTACATATGTAAAGGTGTACAAGTCATGGTGTACATATGTAAAGGTGTACAAGTCATGGTGTACATATGTAAAGGTGTACAAGTCATGGTGTACATGATATGTAAAGGTGTACACGTCGTGGTTTATGTATGTAAAGGTGTACAAGTCATGGTGTACAAGTCATGGTGTACATGATATGTAAAGGTGTACAAGCCATGGTGTACGCGATATGTAAAGGTGTACAAGTCATGGTGTACACGATATGTAAAGGTGTGCAAGTCATGGTGTACGCGATATGTAAAGGTGTACAAGATATGTAAAGGTGTACAAGTCATGGTGTACGCGATATGTAAAGGTGTACAAGTCATGGTGTACACGATATGTAAAGTTGTACAAGTCATGGTGTACACGATATGTAAAGGTGTACAAGTCATGGTGTACGCGATATGTAAAGGTGTACAAGTCATGGTGTACACGATATGTAAAGTTGTACAATCATGGTGTACACGATATGTAAAGGTGTACAAGATATGTAAAGGTGTACAAGTCATGGTGTACGCGATATGTAAAGGTGTACAAGATATGTAAAGGTGTACAAGTCATGGTGTACAAGATATGTAAAGGTGTACAAGTCATGGTGTACACGATATGTAAAGGTGTACAAGTCATGGTGTACGCGATATGTAAAGGTGTACAAGATATGTAAAGGTGTACAAGTCATGGTGTACGCGATATGTAAAGGTGTACAAGTCATGGTGTACGCGATATGTAAAGGTGTACAAGATATGTAAAGGTGTACAAGTCATGGTGTACGCGATATGTAAAGGTGTACAGTCATGGTAGTACACGATATGTAAAGTTGTACAAGTCATGGTGTACACGATATGCAAAGTTGTACAAGTCATGGTGTACATATGTAAAGGTGTACAAGTCATGGTGTACATATGTAAAGGTGTACAAGTCATGGTGTACATATGTAAAGGTGTACAAGTCATGGTGTACATATGTAAAGGTGTACACGTCATGGTTTACATATGTAAAGGTGCACAAGTCATGGTGTACATGATATGTAAAGGTGTACAAGCCATGGTGTACATATGTAAAGATGTACAAGCCATGGTGTACATGATATGTAAAGATGTACAAGCCATGGTTTACGCGATATGTAAAGGTGTACACATGTGTACACGCTTTATCAAGGTGTACACTGTCAGTGTGTGCACGATATGTCATGGTGCACGATATACGGTGTAAACGATGTCATGGTGTACATATGTTATAGTGCACTCGATATAGCAAGTTGCATATAGTACAGCCATGTGTAAGCGATATAGCTAGGTGTACACCACACAGCAAGGTGTACACCACACAGGAAGGTGTACACCACATAGCAAGGTGTACACCACACAGCAAGGTGTACACCACATAGCAAGGTGTACACCACACAGCAAGGTGTACACCACATAGCAAGGTGTACACCACACAGCAAGGTGTACACCACATAGCAAGATGTACACATAGCAAGGAGTACACCACGTAGCAATGTGTACACCACTAGCAAGGTGTACACATAGCAAGTTGTACACCACGTAGCAAGATGTACACCACGTAGCAAGGTGTACACATAGCAAGGTGTACACCACGTAGCAAGGTGTACACATAGCAAGGTGTACACCACGTAGCAAGATGTACACCACGCAGAAAGTTGTACACAATACATGAAGATTAAGAGAACATTAACCGAAATTTAAGTATGTATCGTATACGAAGGTTTACTGTACATTTCCAGACGATTATCATACCATATATCAGAGCATGTTATACACGTTACGTATATATGATATATACTAATGTATATAACAAGATGTATATAATATTTATCAAGCTATGTGAAAGGTATTTATTAATTTATTTATGCGAATACTCAACAGAATTACAAATTAAAATATACTGCCGTACCTTTTTTAAGTTACAATTCTCGTGAATTCATAACTTTGTCCAATGATTTAAATTACTGTTATTGCTGTTATTAATTATTTCACGCATTGAAACCGTATAGGTCACACAGCATGACACAATGAACGACTGTTTTCGAAAACTTCCGGCACGGGAGACTCGAACCAATGGCAAGGATGTACACTTAACTGCCGGCATGGTTCAGTGGACAACGCACTGGCCTGCTGGTACACTTAACTGCCGGCATGGCTCAGTGGACAACGCACTGGCCTGCTGGTTTTAAGACTGGCGTGCCGCGGGTTCGTGCCGTCACTGCGGTGAGTTACCAGATAAACTAAAGTATATTGTTGAACTTTCTAGTAAAAATGTGAAGGTCTAAGAGTATTGTTACCATCAGTTATTGGTTGTAGCTTTTTTTTTAATTTATTTAGCAGATAAGTTTTATTTTAAATATTAAAAATGTTGTGAAAGTTGTCAGCTTTTAATTAAAACTTTCAATGTATATTTTGAACTTTGTTCAGGGCTACAGACACCGTGGGAGGCCAAGAGCTGCGACATTCATTCTTGATACTGTGTCCCAGAATGGACCGAAACGTCGACTTAAGTTCCTTATCTAAAACGTGGATTAGTTCTCAAGTAGCTATTGTGTTATTCAAAGATGATATAATAATCAAACTAAGCTGTAAACTCGCAAGGGCCATACAACGCTGTTATTGAAGGATAACCTTCGCTTTGCTGGGATAGCTTTAGAAGAGGTTTCTCTCTGTTTTAAACCATTATTAAATTGCGACTTAATGGTCCCAGGAAGGATCGAAACGTCATCTGAAGTTTCCTCTTCAAAGTGTGAGTTATTCCTCTATCTCTTTCCCTACCTCTTTCCCCTCCCTCAATCCCTTCTTCCCTGCCTCTTTCCCCTCCCTCAACCCCTTCTTACCTACCTCTTTCCCCTCCCTCAATCCCTTCTTACCTACCTCTTTCCCCTCCCTCAATCCCTTCTTCCCTGCCTCTTTCCCCTCCCTCAACCCCTTCTTACATACTCCATTATTCTCTTTCAACCTCCCTCATTGCATGGAAAACTGTTCCACACTCTCTGTTGTAACTATTATGCAACTGTCGGGTGCTGACAAAACATCAGGACTAGACGAGGTATCACTGTGTTGACATATTTGCAATTTGGCTGCAATGAAAGTGGAAGCATATGTGTATTTCACACATTAAGACAACACTCTGTTGAGCAATTTTTGTGACAACTTTTCGCTCCACGTCGAGCTTTATCAATAACTAAATACAGCATTGAATGGTACGATACGCTGCTATATTATTTTTTGTATTAAGGATTATTTGGAAAGTGTTTGTGTGGGAGGAGGGAGGCTGCCTGGCTGCCTTCAGAGACTGACTTCCCCTGATCTGACACGTAGGAGGTAAGATTGTTATCACTTAGGCACAGCAGGTGGTGTCAAACTGAGGTAGGTGGCGTCACAAGCAACGGCAGGTGGCGTCGCAAGGAACGGTAGGTGGAGTCACAAGCAACGGTAGGTGGAGTCACAAGCAACGGCAGGTGGCGTCACAAGCAACGGTAGGTGGCGTCACAAGCTACGGCAGGTGGCGTCACAAGCTATGGCAGGGGGCGTCACAAGCAACGGCAGGTGGCGTCACTAGCTATGGCAGGTGGTGTCACAAACACTTGCTCTGCGCCTGTCCATTTCTTTCAATCTAAAAACATTAGTGCCAGCTTCGTATCATTCTTTGCCAACGATACAAAGATAAAAAAAAGATAGCCAGAGTGCAAGAGAAGGAAAATACACTACTACAGTTTTCCAGTTGACAAGTTCAATGGTGATCTGGAATTTTTTGTTTTAATACCATTGAAAAAAGCTTCAAGACACGACTGGAAACCTTAAAAAGGATCCAATAAGCAGAAACAGTGTTGAACATCAAATCTGAAAAAAAAGTCTATATCTACAGAAAGGTTACTACAAATAGGTACGTTCTCTCTCTCTCTCTCTCTCTCTCTCTCTCTCTCTCTCTCTCTCTCTCTCTCTCTCTCTCTCTCTCTCTCTCTCTCTCTCTCTCTCTCTCACGTGACCTTACAGCTCTAAGTTCCCCTTTCAACTCTATTCCTTACATCTGCTTCCCTTTACTCCCCTCCCCTTGCCTCACCTCCTGAAGCGATGCAGTAGAGAGTTAAAGCGTCTCCCTCCGTCAACGACCTCAGGACACCACCTTGAATGGGGCGACTGTTGGCGTCCAGCACTACCATCCGGGACGGCACCACTGTGGAGGGAAGATTGTGGTTAGGGACACCACTGTAGAGGGAAGATTGTGGTTAGGGACACCACTGTAGAGGGAAGACTGTTGTTAGGGACACCACTGTAGAGGGAAGACTGTGGTTAGGGACACCACTGTAGAGGGAAGACTGTGGTTAGGGACACCACTGTAGAGGGAAGATTGTGGTTAGGGACACCACTGTAGCGGGAAGATTGTGGTTAGGGACACCACTGTAGCGGGAAGATTGTGGTTTAGGGACACCACTGTAGCGGGAAGATTGTGGTTTAGGGACACCACTGTGGAGCAAAGATTGTGGTCAGAGGCACCACTTTTTTTTTTATTCACCGGTATTCTCCCGGCCCGGGTCTTTTCCAAGTAGTACCACTGTGGAGAGATGGTGTGAGAGAGAGAGAGAGAGAGAGAGAGAGAGAGAGAGAGAGAGAGAGAGAGAGAGAGAGAGAGAGAGAGAGAGATAGAGAGTCAACTTATGGCTGCTGTACCACCTGACAGCTGCTCACTCATCTTAGCAAAGATCTTCAACATCTTCAATTAATTTTCCTTACTCAACTTTACCGCCCTCATTTATATGCTTGGCAAGAGCCTCTCACTGCTCTGTCTTTCTGCCTGCTTCTGTCAGTCTGTGTCTGTCTGTGTCTGTCTGCCTGCCTGCATTTTTATGTCTGTATTACGTAGTTCCAAAGTTAATATCACGACTAAGAAGGATTAATATAAAGAATAAAAAGACAATACCGTGACTGGAACAATACACAGATAACCCGCACTTGGACCATTAACTAATCACACACTGGTCCAAGTTGAGCCGAAACGTTGTCTATGTTTCTTTCCCTTATGTTCTGGTTATTCGTGCAGGATTAATATAAATGTAGATTAAACTCCAGCATTTTGTCTAAGAAAATAATTAGAAGATAATACCTGCAGAGACTACATCCCTACAGGCAGGCTTGAGTCCAGGTATGTATGGTGAGACCAGGTGTATACCACTGTATGTTGAGCAAAAGGACACAAGTGCACCTAATGCCTCATTTTATTGTGGCAACGTTTCGCTCTCCAGGAGCCACAATAAAACGTCACATTGTGTTCTTGTACTTAACATATTGTCGGTAATTCTACCGACATTATTACATATACCACAGTAGAGGTGATCATTGGGGGCAGCCCTGCGTGGTGAAGAGTGTGCATGTTGCACAAGTTACGTTAACACCACCAAAGTAACAATGCTGTCAGAAGAGATCCCCGGTGGGAATGGTAGCGCAAGTTAGCACAGCGCTGACACAGTAACCAGGGAGATCCTGGCATCACGACTTACACTATTTTGACCCGAGGTATTCAGCAGTTTGGTAACTGGTTGGGTAGTCTCCGCCGTGCCCAGTAAATACCTGTATATTCTAATACGAAGGAATATTACCTTATGTACCGCCGTTAACTGTGTTATGTACATCAAACTGTGACCTCTACCCATGGGATGACAAACTATGCCATATAAATATCTTTCCTGCTAGTCGGGAGGCAGCCTCCATCAGCCTTAAATTTCTGAAACAATGACTTTTTTCCTACCATTTACTACATCTTAACTACAAAAGTATATAATGTCACTGTCACTCTTAAGTTTATTCTTGTGGATGCTTAATCCACAGTTCTTAATTTTTTTTATTTTTTAAATCTTTCTGAATTCCCTGTAGAGTGGAAAAACCCAAGCGAAGGAAAGCCTCCAGGGAAGCTAGATGAAGGTCTCGTACGCAAACGAGATGACCTGATGCTCCACATTCTTCAAACTCATTTCCTGGCTTTAGCGAGGCGTAACGCACTTGTTGCACTCCCGAATCTGCCATCTCGGCTCCTTAGTGGGTATAAGATGGAGTACGTCAGACTGATAATATTCCTATTACCCGAGGACGGTGTTCCCACCAGCTGCTTAAAGTTGACAGCTAGTGAAGCTTGAACACACTTCTGCAGGGAACACTAAGTACTGAAGAGGAGACCAGAAAAACATCTTTGGCCATTTATTCACTTAGCGATACTGGCACATATATATATATATATAATATATATATATATATATATATATATAAATATATATATATATAATATATATATATATATTAATATATTTATATAATATATGTCGTGCCGAATAGGCAGAACTTGCCATCTTGGCTTAAATAGCAACGCTCATCTTGCCATATAGGACAAGTGAAAATTTGTGTATGCAATAATTTCGCCAAAATCATTCTGAACCTAACGAAAAAAATATATTTCACTGTGTTTGTTTAGTATTAAATTATTGTAAACAAATCTAAAACATATATAGTTGGGTTAGGTTAAAATAAATTGTTCTTGTTATAATAAGGTTAGGTAAGTTTTTTAAAATTCTTTTGGTGCAAAATTAAAATTTTTTACATTAACATTAATGAAAAAAATATATCTTAAAACGTACAGGAGAAAATTTTAGAAAGGACTTAATTTTAAATGAGTTCTTGCTAATTGACCAGTTTTACATATTCGGCACGACATATATATATAATATATATATATATATATATATATATATATATATAATATATATATATATATATATATAATATATATATATATATACATATATATCACGAGAAAACAATAAAAGGTGCTGACACGAAACAAAAATAAAAGGTATTAACAAAAAAATAAAAGGTACTGACACGAAAAAAAATAAATAAATACTTGGATAAAATTCAACAATTAAAGATCTTACCACCACATCATGTTTTGTTCAAGTTAAAATTATTTGTATCAATTTATGATAAAGTAACTGCGAGATTTATAGCAGTAATAACTCCTGCAAGTGAGTCAAAGAACAAGTTTTGAAACCACAAATATGTTTCACAAAGATTCTTAAGAGTTTTAGAGTTTGGTATAATTTTCGAGAGAGAGAGAGAGAAGGAGAGAGGAGAGAGAGAGAGAGAGAGAGAGAAGAGAGAGAGAGAGAGAGAGAGAGAGAAGAGAGAGAGAGAGAGAGACTGACTCCACACGAACACCAGTACAATATATAATACAATTTTACTCCAACGATTTACCAAAATAAATTGGAATAGATATGACTTTGAACAGTGTGGGTACAAACATTTATATATACTATATATAATATAATTAAATAAATTATATACATATATATATATATATATATATATATATATATATATATATATATATATATATATATATATATATATATATATATATATATATATATATATATATATTTATTGAACCAGATTAATTTATTCTCTTTCTCTCTCTCTCTCTCTCACACTCACACACACACACACACTTGGAATTCTATGACAGTAACATTTGTGTGGCAAGAGAGAGTTGGGTGGGTTACATTTTATTAACCTGCAAGGTGTTTAATACTGTACCCTACTAAAGCCTGGGCCGAAAACTTGAGATTCAGGCGGGAATAATGGATAACGTACTCCGGAGGATCCAAGAGTGTCGTGGGGAAAGGAAGCAAAGAGTGACTGTCAGGACAGAGACATCAGAATGAAGAGTAACGAGCGGGGTTCCAAAGGATCAGTATTAGGACCAGTATTGTTTCTGGTTGATGTGAATGACTTTCCAGATGGTACCGATTCAGATATATCCTGTCTGCTGAAGTAAAGCTTATGAGAATAAAAGACGAGAACAAGGAAAGTCTCCAAAGGAATCTGGACAAATTGCAAGAGTGATATGTGGTGTGTGTGTGGGGGGAAGGGGGGTTGATTGAATGCAACTCCAGTACATGCAAGGTCATGAAGACTGGGGAAGGAGCAAGAAGACCGGAAAAATCGTATAGACTAGGAGGACAGCGGATGCAGACTTCATTCCAAAAAGAAAGGTCTAGAGGCGAGCATAGCGCCCGGAATACAGAGACAGACTCACATCAGCAATTAACGTCTGCAGCCAATGCTCGTCTGGAAAATCTAAGAACAATCTTTCGGAATCTCAAAAGAATCATTCGAGTCCTTTATACAATATGCATCAGGTTCATCCTGGAGTATGCAGCACCAGCATGGAACTCGCACCTAAAAAATGCATACTAAATAACTAGAAAAAGTGCGGAAGCTGGCAACAAGGCTTGTTGCCAAGGAGGAGAGGGTGAAGGAATCCGATCTAACGACACTGGAAGACAGAAGAATCAAGGAACTGGGGGGAGGGGACAAAGTACTCAGGTAAATTGATAAGGTAGGGTGGAATAGGCTGTTTGGTAGGAGACCGTTGGACGTTCAAGTCGCAGATGAGCCACAGGGATGTTAGGAAGTATTTCTTCGGTCTCAGAGTGGTCGTGAAGTAGAATGATCCTCGTGAGGAAACTGTGGAGGTAGGTTCCATACATAGTTTTAAGAGCAGGTACGATAAAGCCCACAAGGCTAAGAGGGAATGACTGAACAGTAGCAAGAGGCGGGGCCAGGAGCTAAGAGTCAACCCCCCGCACACACACGCGGTAGTGAATATGTGAAATAAACTTGAGGAAGATGGAGGCAACCTTCATGCACAGCTTCAAGAGCGGGCATGATAGGCTCCAGAAGATAAGGAGCCAGTAAATGCCGGCCAATTTTTAAAGAGTGAGCTAGGAGCCAAGCCTCGCCTCCCTGCACTCACTAGTTAATAAACATTATAATCAGGTTTGATCCAAGGAGAGTAGCAGCTCCGAATCCTTGGATCAAGAACTTTAAGTCAGCATGACGGCACTTCTCTAGGATTGTACACATGCTTTAAGATTAATATAGATTTGTATCTCAACTGACTCAGGAGAAGCAGGCAGCTGCCTGCTTCTCGGCTCAGTCAGGAACCTGGAGATGCAGGCAGCTGCCTGCTTCTCGGTTCAGTCAGGAACCTGGAGATGCAGGCAGCTGCCTGCTTCTCGGCTCAGTCAGGAACCTGGAGAAGCAGGCAGCTGCCTGCTTCTCGGTTCAGTCAGGAACCTGGAGAAGCAGGCAGCTGCCTGCTTCTCGGTTCAGTCAGGAACC